AGTTTCCATAACACGTGACCAAAGGCCAGTCTCACTATTGCTGTCAGGAAGAACAGACATCAAATTTCATCGTTAGATTTTTATTCCGATTTCCCGAACGAATCACAAGGTAAGCACTCTAAATTTTACGCGTACTCTTATTATTACGTTTATCGTCTCTTGTTTCTGCTTCCCTTCTCTTTGTTTACTTTCCTTTTCTTTCCACCTCCCACCCTACAGCTTTTCCTACGTGGGGCGCATTTGCACCCCCACCTTTAATAATTACATGTTTCATTTTTGTTAATGTTAATTGTGCCATTATAATATATTAGCCTTATTGCATAATTATTTTTTAAATTCCATTTCAAAACATCACGGTGACTCCCTTCGCCACATAAGTTTTCCTGTAATTATTAAACAGAGCAAAAAATGTCCCTATTTCTGTAGTATTATAAACCTATGAAATAGACGGAATGCGACTGTATAGCATATGTGAATAATCATCTTTCTTCAACAACACGAGAGGGCCTTCCCACAGAAATTTTTCCCAGAAATTCTAAATATTCATTCATCCTTATGCCTGCATGTACAACCAGTGCCTTTTAAATAACGACACTATGCTGCTTACAGTAAGACATGTACATCGTGGCATTCGCAAATGTAAAATATATACAGTATAGTTAAATAAGATGCAGATAATTGATTCATTGTGGCAACTGATCCATATAGCAGACTTTGAAGTTTTTTTATTATTTCTCACATCTAATTAACGACTGTGCATACTGGACGAGTGTTCTAAATTGCATCTTTTTTTCCCGAGAAGAACGATTCGAATACTTGGTTGTTATTAATATCATTCGTCCCTGTTTTATTGTTAAAATTAGCTTGTAACATTGCCGTTACATGAATTCAGCATGCATGTATACACAGTACATGTGCGATCTTAAGTATGATGCACCAACTTCATATGTACGTTCTGTGTATCATTGTGTACTAGCTTTCAAATCAAGTTAAGTACAGTTTATACTTTACTTTCTTGTTTAATGGATCCACAGATACATTAAAGCAAACAAGCTACACACAGCTATGGTAATTACAAAAGCAAACTGCATTACAATATAACACAAAGCATGGTATTCACCATGATTGCAAATGCAATTCTGTTTTAACATGAGCGTATGTAATGTATAAACATTCCAAACGGACACTCACAGGGTATTACATTTTTTCATTTGGCCAGCATTTGTTCCTCATTATCTCAGAAAAGCGTTGGGTTATTGGCCGCGGCGTGCTGGCGATTCTGCTCTTCCCGTTCCAAAAGTCTCTGTTTCAGTCTCTCTGGTTTATATATTGCATAATCAAGGTCGTGGAGGTCACGTTGAAGGTCAGCCTCGATCTGGTCGAGGGCGAGCTCCACGGTGTTCCTCTTCGAGGCGACGTCATCTTCCGTTTGTGGCGCCGACGGTGATGGCCTTAATTGCTCGACGTTCATTGCATAGTTTAACGCGATATTGCTCGGGGAGGGATTCAAATGTGAAGGTGACATCCAACTCCCGGGACAATTGGGGTCAGCATATTCTCCAGACGCGGAAGACTGAAGACAAAAAGAGATTGGTTAAACAATTTATCAACTTTGGGCCTTGAAAGATTGCCCTCGACCTCTTGGATTATTCTGTAAGTTTTATTAATCACATTACAGGATAGCTATGCATAAAGATAATAACTTCTCCGTCTATAATAATTCGTGTTGTAATAATAAATAAATAAATAAATAAATAAATAAATAAATAAATAAATAAATAAATAAATAAGTGAAATATAAAGACATACTATGCTAGAGCAGTCAAAACTTCCCGCAGAGAACCGTGATACCACTTTATCGTTGACTTCGATGAAACTTGTCTCCGCCATTTGGGGCACACCATTGTCATACGTGTAGATGCCCTCTGTTTCGTGCTTTATCCTACGGTTTGTTCTTACCATGCCTCTTCTGAAAAAGAAAAAGGGTAAAAATATCTAGGAGACCGAAACTCCTCTGCCTTACCCCTTTGGTTCTAATGCAAGTTTAGATTTATAAGAAGATAATTATCACAATAAATAAATAAATAAATAAATAAGTGATTAAAATATATATAAACAACATCTACTCTCTACTCTCTAATTAAATAGCGCTCACCGTTGAGAATTCTTACTGTAACACAAAGACACTGTCATGACAACGACAAAGATCAGGCCGGTCATTCCTGCAATCAGCCCTATAACGGTAACATCAGTGCTGGTATAAACTCTGGGCTGGGTAGTCATCTTGGCTACAGTACGGTTGGATTCAGATTGCAGTTGAGGCATACGGTAAATACGCCTGCTAGGAAGAAGTATAGAGTTAATATCCAAAATACACCTTACATATTTATTTATATTATTAATGTTTTTACTGATGTCCCACTGCCTATAAAAGGT